TAATCAAAATAAAAAATGAAATAAAATGATTGGCCTTATAAAAATTCTACACAACCCATCTACGTGTCACTCAGTTATGAACATTGTATGAAATAAAATCTCTTTGTCACGTAACAAAATGATTCTGAAAAGCACTAAATTTTTCATGAATTGAAAATCTCATTCCATCTATTGATGATGATTTTCGAGTCATCTAAAACTTGGTTTTGGGAGTTCTAATGAGAATTTGGAAGGCTTCGTGTGCTTTTAGAAGTGTGTGGGTGGTTTTTACTTCCCGGCTGCCCACACAGTGGAAGTTGATTGATTCTTCGGGTACCTGAAACAGAAACAGGGTTAGTGTTGCGTGACCGCAGAGCCCAGGAGACAACTGCTTGAGGCCGGTCACACATGGCCTGTATGAACTGGTTTCTGGGATTGGTTCCGTATAGTAACTTACCGCCGGTTACGGACCACCGTAGGGTAAGTCGGGATGTACAATTTTTGGGGTCGACCTTTTCTAACCCCCTCTCTCCAGAGTGGAGAGACAGCATAGCTGGCATGCTGGTCATCTGAGGGAAACACCTCACTGCTGTTACACCCCTGTTCCCCAGCAGTACGACTTCGCCCTCAGACACCCAGCATAGTGTAAGAAAGATTCTTACACAATGCTGGTAACTGCTTTTAGTCTAATCGCTATCCTAACAACCTTCCTAGCATGGTAGGACCTGCAAGAACATTGGTTCCAGCCAGTGCAGCTTGTTGGGTCATCGCGATGTGCAAGCCCGACCACCACGTCAAGGTAGCAGCTATCAGTCTTCTATCGGTCTACTTTCTTCTCTTGCTTTGTGTGCTACATGGAGTGTGGCGACTTGAACTGCCGCACATCGGTGCAAAGTTCTCTGTCGAAAACAGACACAGACAGAATGAGAATTTGCGACACCTGTGGATTATCTAGCTAGATGTGAAAATAGATGCATTTGGATGATGCCGGATTTCAGTTACATGAACTATGTTTCGAACCTAATCGACCAGGAACCAATTGTACAATAAATATAGATAGATCGGACGTAAGTTGAGGAGACAGTTAAGTAGGCCTTTGAGTGGAGCCCAAATAGTAAATGGATTGGTGAATCAGGCTCCTTGGTCGATGTGGAAGAGATCGTGTAAGGAGGATAAGGGAGCCAATGGACAGTCGTGAATCCAACCAAAAATGACTGCAAAAAAGTGACAAAATACAGAAGTGATGTTGAAGTCCAGTGCTTCTTGATTCTGTGTCCTGCAGGTTGTCAAGTAGACACTAGTGAAACAAAATAAAACATATTTCCACTACCTTATACTGTACAATGATTTTTTCAGCTAATATATCTGTTCATTATAAAGGTTACCTAAAAATCAATTAAATCTGCAATTTAATTGTTTATTTATTGTTCATGTATTTGTTGTGACTGAGAATTAGTCACATGGATTTGATCATATGACACATGAATTTGCAAACAACAGGAAGTGAGTACTCGAAAGGATGAAGATACACCATATGATGACCTTTTGAATCATATAAAGTGAAAAAAAAATACAAAAACAAAGAATAATAATAGTTACCATAAGTTAAAAATCAGTAATTATATGCGGTTTTGACAGATTATTGATGGATTCCGTCATGTGACTTATTATGTAGCAAGTAGGTGCTTTCTAAAGAACACCAAGAAATGTACAATGGTCTTCTGTACTGGATATCTTCATGGTATTGATAGGTGATAGATTTCCTCAGTCTATAGTATAACTAAAATCTAGCTACGGCTGTGTCATTCATTCATAACTTCCAAGTTGAAACGTGGTGATATTCAGCTGGAATTTATGTTTACATTGTGTACTTTAGACAGCTAACTTCACATGAACAGTTGTTTTTTCCCTCGCCATTAGAGGGTTGCTATTGTGTGTGTTTGTGGACAGAAACAGTAGCAGGTTTATGACTTGTTTTGTTCATAGTTTAACGTCTATAACCCGGTCTGTTTATTTTTTGTATGAGAAAAATTCGTAACTTCGGTAAACTGATTGTCTTACAAGGATTTCTACGCCAGTTTCAACACAGAACTTTGTATTGTAGTTCAGCTGGTTAAACTGCACATAACATACAAGGGATTGCGCTGAAAACATCTAAAGCCCGTGTGATTTTCTTAAAGGGAAGTCAACTGTCTTCGAATTACAGCTAAGGTATGTGTCAACTGAGCTTATGCTTCATCTTTTGTCAGTACCCTTGGCTGATTCTGAAAAAAGTATGCGCAAAAGATGTTGCATGGTAGACAGGAGATGTAATGGCTATACCACAGACATTGGTGGAGTTATGAGGTACATTTTGAACTGACTGATGAGTTTGATAAAGTTGAGGTAAATATTGGTCTTTCCACTAGTATCTTAAACATTTGTCTCGATGATGCTGCAGAGCAATTACGAAAGTCCTTAAATCAAATAAAAGTCTGCACATCTTGTCAATTCACTCTGTAAAATTCGTGAAAATATAGTAGAGGTAATTTAAATTGTGGTGAGAGCTGGCTGCAAGCCGAAATTGTAGACAACACTTGACGTCAATGTTTACGTCCCGAATCGGAGTGATGAGAAAAACAATGACAAAGCTTAACCTTGAGGAATTCGTCAACCAGCCACAGCGGACTTAACGCGTGCAAAATAGGATTCGCAGAGATATGGCTTCACTTTCTAAGAAACGGTCACATGCAGTACAGAATAAACTCCGGAAAGAAAACAACCAATCAGAAGACGTTGCTTCTCCGCTGACGATAATGTACATAAAAATCTATGAATATCTCTTGATTTTCTCAATAAACGATCTGTTGCCTGGCCCTTGTCTTCTGTCGTTACAAAATAACCTCAGTGATCTGAGTTTCGCAGCGGCTCGCGTTTATCTTTGAGATGACATGTTCGAAGATATATTGTGTTATTTATCTCTTATGAGGACATGAAAAGGGATTCAGGGTTAAAATTGTTTTTGTAGATATATTTAATAATGACTTTGGCCTGTAAGCAGCTGATGAGAAAGCAACGAAATAAATGATGGTACCACTTTATTCTGCAAAATCTATTGTTCTTGCTTTATTCAAATTCATTAAAGGGAATAAATGTATGAAATATTCTCTTCGAAAATCTCTTCTCCATCAGGTTCCACCTTTAGATATAATGGAAAAGATTTGTAGATCAGGTGGACGATTTTGATGTGGTTGTGTTCTCTGATCTGGATGGTTTATTTGCGAAGCTCTCATTGCCTTATTAGGCAACATCTTCAGTGAATACTTCCATTCTCTGAAGTAAGCTTTTTAAGATTTCTACACGAATTTATTAGTCATCTCTCCTGGCAACACCTTGGACGTGATTGGTCGCTTTTGTGTGTTTTCACAACCTCTAGGTTACTTGTATTGGTACTGATTGCTTCCTTGACCTGAAGTGTTACCCTTTGTGCGTGAGATCCTCCTTATCGATTGATAAATTTTGTCTATGTCGATGTGTCTATTGATTGATGATTCACTGGAATGCCAAGCTTCCAAAAATTCTCTAGCATTCTTGTTGTTTCCTCTGTCTAATATTTGAACGTTGTCCCAGTCGAATTGATGTCCGTGGTTATCTGTATGCAGTGAGTGATATGAGGGAGTGGATGTCATGTCTTTTGACGGCTAGCTTATGTTTATGGATACGAAGACGAAGGGGACGTCCACTTTGGCCAATGTAGTGTTTTTCGCAGTCATTGCAACTTATTTTGTAGATGATGTTGGTTTTATCTTCTTTCGTTGTTGAGTCTTTTGGTTGACACAGAGCTGAGTGAAGTGATTTTGTTGGTTTGTGTGCGACATCAATTCCTAAAGGTTTGAAGAGTCTTGCAGTGATTTGTGAGATGTCCTTTATATATGGTAGGGCGATTTTCTTTGTGCTTTCCTCGGGGGCCTTTGATTTGATAGGCTGGCTTGGGGGTATATGTCTTTTGATGAAATTCCATGGATATCCATTCTTTTGGAAGACGTCCATGAGATATCTTTCTTCAATTTTCCTTAAGATGGGAGTGCCGCAATGAGTATGCGCTGAAGATGTTGCCTAGTAGGGCAATGAAAGCTTCGCAAATAAACCATCCATCCAGCTCAGAGAACACAACCACATCAAAAAACTACTTAATAGACAAATTAGTTAGTGAGATCAGTGGAAACCAGAAAACACTGGACAGCTGTTTCCTCCCATTCTAGGACTCCTCAATAGTACTACCCACAACCCGCCAGGAATCGAACCCAGGACATTAAGGTTAATAGACCAGGGTCAATGGGAATTCGTCCATTCGGCCTGGTGTTTCCATGACCCTTGAATTCTAACTTTGTTAACTGATGACAATGCGCTGCCTTCAGCAATGCTTTCGACGAGCATCCACTTCACTTTGGCATGGCGGAGTCCAGTAGTCAGCAATTTTCACTGCAGCCTCATGTAGTCCATCCAGTTTGTGTTGAAAATCTAACAATTTGAATTAATTCAGATTTCCCACATTCCTGTAATCCTAATACGGTTCACCAGCTGACTGATGACCACTGGAGTAATTTCCTGAGGTTGGATTTGAAATTCATGACCAGTGGAGTCCACATTGTCAAGGTTAAGTTGATACTCATCGAAGACATTGTTAAGGGGTCAGGGGTCATTGAATTCCAGCCTGAGCGTCTGAATAGTTAATGAGCTCGATCTCTTAACCCGTAGGTCCAGGTTTCGATTCCTGGAGGTGCAGTGGATGCGCAGTATTGAAGAGTCCTAGAATAGAGCGAAACAGCTGTCCAGTGCTTCTTGGTTTTCGATGATTACCGATAATGGTGTTAGTTAATGACAAAAATCTCGCAAATGAAAGTGATCCAATATCCCCACAAATCCAACAATCTGATTGGAATGAGAGTTGAAATGAGGTAAGACCTACACCATATTAACTGATGTGAAATGTTTCCAATCTACATGTGGTTTTGAGTCGTCGATTGAATTTTTACTTATCAATGTCAAACTTATTAATTTGTTTCATTTCACCATCTTTATTTCCACTGTTTCTACTTGTGTTTTTTTTACATTCTACACAGAAATGGATACCGAAATTTGCCAATCCAATAACATTCAATAATTTTAATCAACGTCTTCTTGACCAACGTGTTTGCCTGTGTCAATTTTGGTCTGAAAACTCGGAATCATTTTGTGTTCAAGTGAAGACGATAACCACTTCCAGTAGAAATAATCCTGACTTTACTGTTGAGGTTCGATTACGCTATACTCTGGATAGTTGGCGGACATACACAGAATGCCCCCCGTTGTCAAGAATTGATCATTTAACCGAATCATACACTGATCATCAATGGATAGAGACTTATGAGTCACAGATTAAACTACACTTAGCACTATTCAATGAAATGTCAGTATACTCGGTAGATTATAATTCCTACTTATTAGAATTTGCTGTTGTCTATCGAGGCAGTGGATTTGAATACTGGGATAATAATTATTCACAGAATTATTTGTCTTCTCTTTGATGATCACTGATCACTTTCAATGAATGGTGATTCTTGTTCAATGCATGTTTTCAACGTGTGTTTTTTTTTACAGACCAAAAATATACAGACAAAATGTTACTAGTTGTTTTTGTATCCTCTGGATTTCTTCCCCTGCTTAGTTTATTGTGAAAGTTCAAGTAGAAAGGATTACTCAATGTGCAACCACCAATCGATGTGTCAACGTTCTGATAACCCTATTGAAATTATGAATTGTTGTCAACGAATTAGTAATATCCTCCTGTTTATCAGACAAAGGGATATTTTCTCCTGAGAATTTCTTTATAGGTATGATCACTAGCTGACATGAGTTGGAGAACCATTGGAAAACCAGCAGGAAGTACTGGACACCTGTTTCTTCAGCCTAGTTTGGGACTCCTCTGCAGTACGCACCAACTGGGGTTAGAACCCCATACCTTCCGGTTACAAGGTGGGCTCGTAAACCATTTAGCCTCTAGAACCCGACACAAAGGTCCATGAATTCTAACTTCTACCAATTCGCGATACGTGTATATATACATACACCGTGTCACACGGTGAGTAACTGATCTCTTACCTGACTTGGTGGATCACACTAGTTACGCCTTCTCAGTAGAACTCCAGACAGCTTCCTCTACACAACCAGTCTCTAGTGAGCATCGGATTGACTGCCAACTGTTGATTTGCAGGGATTTGACTGGTCACAGTATCGTAGACATTTTACTGAGATCCAGTGTTTCACACATTCATCCAGTCGGTAAACACAACGCCTGGGTAACATGTTTGAGAAACACTATGGTGTAAGAAAAAACCCAGTCGCCCCTATACTTTCAGTTGAAAGGTTTTGAGATAGTAAAACAATATTCTCGAAATAATATGACCAGCTTGAAGTCAATGGAGTAAATAATTCCTCCCCCCCACAAATCCTTTGAATAGGATACGAAATCAATCATTTCAAATGAATTATCTCAATATGTACCTCTACCTTCCAGGCAATCGATTGTGAAGGTTGTCGACTCTTCTTTGAACTGTTCAAATTATTCGATGTTATGTCTGTTTTTCAAGACTTCATTGGTATTAAAACATCATGAAAATGCAAGAAATTGTGCTTGTATTCTTAGGTTATTTGTCTTGTATTCCTCCGGTGTAACATTGAAGGGAACAGAGAGTAGGTAGGTGTAGATTAATTGATCAATAATTTTAGAGTTCTAGAAAAAGTGACATTAGTCAGTGACTTAGCGATAAGACATCACATAGCTTCGGAAAAATGTTTGCAAGAAACGATGTATGAGATATTCTAGACTTTAACACCAAAAAAAACAATAAACTTCTAATGCCAAGAAATAATACTTCACCAGAATAAATTTGCAACTGCGAAAGTATTCAGGGCTAAATAAGTGTAAATTAGTCAGTTATTTATTTTTATTCACTGTGTTGCCATGTTGTTTATCGGTGAACCAAATCACTCTTCATCTGCCAATATAACTGCTGGTTTAGACAGATTTCTTGAAGAGAATAAAAGACAAATTCAGTGAAGAAAATTCTCTTGATCGACGAAATCATTTTCACAGGCTGTACTCTACAGTCGTATTTATATTTACCAAATATGTATAGTAGTCAATTATTGAGTAATAGGTGGGGTGGGGGTGATATAATTGATATAATTTCTAAGAAGTGGCTACAAAAGTAAAAATAAGAATTGTATACAGAGTTCAAGTTCGTATTGACGAATTGCCAACGCCTATGCCATACACAAATGCTGAAACCTGACACCCTTTGTACCATTTGGCCTCACCTTGTAGATGATCTTGAAAGATAACTCTGGTAGAGAGCATCTCTTATTCTACCTTGGTCTTAACCTCTTCACTAGTCGTTCCATGTAAAATCTTGTATTGCCAACTCCCTTTATTCTCATTTAATAGCAATTTTAACCTTATCGAATTTCTAACGCTTTCTTCCTTTGTGCCATTGAGTACTACGTTATTCAAAACTTTTATTCTTACTTCTAAAGCCACTTCCAAGTAATTATAATAATTATGTCACCCCCACCCCACCTATTACTCAATAATAAACTACTATACATATTTGGTAAATATAAATACGACTGTACAGTACAGCCTGTGTAGATGACTTTGTCGATGAAAAAAATTTTCTTCACTGAATTTGTTTTTATTTTCTTCATGACTGAATGCAGAATTTTGGAGATTTCTTGAAATTGCTGAAGTTTCCATTATTATTATTCAGTCTCCTTGTTAAGCTTCAGAACGTGTTTAATGGTGTATGGGTAACTTTACCTGGATACTTGCAACAGTGTCAGATAACATCATCTGTAGAGACACACATTCCCCTACACTCATTCACCTCATGCAAGAGGATAAGATAATATGTATATATACTTCATTCTATAAATAAATGTATAAGTAAGTTGATTTGGCTTTAGAACTCTGTATATTAGCTGGTGTATGTTCCAGCTATTCATGAAAAGCGGATGTTAACTTGTATCCACATTGTAGTGGCTTGAAAGAGTGATAACAGTTGGATACATTTTCTAGTGTGAAGAGGTTAAACGATCTCTCGTTGAACAAGCTAACGGATAATTCCACGTGTAACTAATTGAAGCCTAAAGAGGCTCGTTTATCTTATACTAAACTGGTTATACTACCACATAAGAAGGGTGTCCTAATTACTTCCATACTGTCGAAATACAAGTCGTCTTGTTATTATAACCAAAAGTCACTCGTTGTGGTCTCCAAGCAGGAAATCGATCTCTGTGCCCTACCGTATAGCTGAAAAAATTCCTTGAAATACTCACAGTCACACAAGCTCCAAAGAGAGTAGAACCACAATTTTTCGTCGACAGATCACTGTGGTTCTATTCAGCAATAAGAATATCAAAATGTCAAAGAAATCTGTGCCAAAAAATACTTTATATGAACCTCAACCTACCCAGTGACGTCCTTAGGAGGAGAATTTCCCCTTTTCTAAGAAGAACTTTGTTTGTGGCAACATTGAGAGTAGTGATCTCCAGTCACCCGCAGATCTGCAGCTGACCACTTGTATGCGTATATATATCAGTTCACCTGTTACTGTGGAACCAGCCAGGTACATCGATCGTTCGACGCGCATCCTGTCAAAAAGTGTCAAAGAACACTATCCAGAGAGGCTGCATAAAGGAAGTAGTGGCCTTGTAAGGAGTGCAATAATCGAACATCTCGTCACCACTGATCATTCTAAATTACCTCAACAGTGCCAATAGGGAGCTATAAAGGCCAGATAACCTTCCATTAGAAAATATGTACTGTAGAAAAAACATCAGTTATTGGAAATTCAGCTGTAATAAATACTTCAGAATCAAGTGAAATATTCTCAATAAAGTGGGATCAAAATCTCTGTCGACAAGAATCACACACCAACGCTTCCCGAATGCGGTCGAGGGTCAGAATAATCTTGATTCACTCAAACGAAATCACATCGTAAAACAACAAATTATCAATGTATCGCACAACTTCAAAGAGAAATATTAGAATGAGAGATTTAACAGGGAGAAACACGAATAATACGGATTAAGCCAGGATATCATACGCAAAGGTCTGTCAGAAAAGAGGATGATAATTTCAAAGGTAATTGTAACATCATTGTAGGTATAGATGCTGTGATTAGGTCGTTCACGAGGCATTTTCCAAACAATTTCTCCATTACAGCATCTACAATAATTCGTGGACTGTTTAGTCAACAATTCGAGGAAAGACGTGTATTATTTACTGTGTTTCATCTAGCAGTCATGAATGTCCGCTTAGTTATTCGACACAAAGTTATTTGTCTTCAAAGCAAATTCGCCAGTGGAATGTCGACAAAATTCCTAATTGTATCACTGATAATGACGATGATGATAACAGAAATCTGTCAGTATAGTGTCCAAATTCATCACCATATCAATTGATATAGATCGTCATTTGTGATACCACGTATCTCGTGTTTACGACAACTTCTTATCAGCGCACTTAATATCTTTAACCCTCCAGGTCTCAAAAAAATAATTGTAGTGAAGTAAACTTAGGTTATCTATCATGATTCCAAGCAAATAACTCGAACAATTTTAGAAGCTGTAGCGAGTAGGACGTTTAAACTGTTTTTTTGTGTGTTCAAGAGCAATTCTTCATCATCATCACCAATTGAACATCTACTGGTAAACCTTTGTTTGGTTAGCAGAACACATGAACTATTATCGACCTTCTTTAGTTTACTGATCTTCATTGTGATTTTGACCTTTAATGTAGGCTTTCATATTGATGAATGTCTGTACTTTGATAGGACACTAGTAACTAGTGTGATGTGTCTAGTCCTTTCTTTGGTGCAGACTGAATTCTATCAGTCACGTTTGCAATGTGGCTACCATTCTAGGTAGCTCGCCATCACGATGCGCATTGATTTGATGGTATTAGATGGTTGGAGGCAATCGGCCACAGGAAGCCTTGGACACCATCTAGGTTTCGTGCTAGTTGACACTCACCAGTCAGAAAGGCGTATCTGCAACCTTGAAGGAACTCATGTCCCTTCTGAGATTCGAACCCGCGTCACCCAGTGACTACTGCAGTCAGAGACGTTACCACTGAGCTATTTGGGCTCACGATTGACCTCTTGTAGGACTGTAGTGGATACTTTGATTGGACACTAGTAACTAGTGTTATGCGTCTAGTCCTTTCTTTGGTGCAGACTGACTGATAGAATTGCTACGACAAGTAGGTGTGTTATCAGACTGTTCGAGATATATGTGCTGCTCAAAATCACACGATTCAGATGAAATTAATAAAGTCCGAGTTATCTTTTTGAGTCGTGGTAGTTCTTTCCGGGTTTACACTTCGAAATGAAGGAGAAATGTAGATACTTCAGTAAAATACTGACATTCAGTGAGTGCTAATTCATAAACAAATATGAGTGAAGAACATGAAGATATATTAGATGTGGATAATTTGGAGTTTATAAAAGATAATATGCAGTCGCGTTACACTGCCCTCCATAATTAAAGAACAGTCTGTTTATCATCCATGTTATCAAATTCCATCAAACATGAGCCAATTATACGGGTTCGTTGATTGCCTACA